CATTCTTCATATATGGAAATGCTCATTTTGCTGGTGTTAAGTTCAGAATAAAAGCACATGTGCACATATGTTTATATATATATTTCAATGGCAGGAAGTTTTGTTCCTCATGGCCCGTAATCATTTATTTTATCATAATTCAAGACACATTTGTTCTGATGAAGGTTCAGAGTCTCCTGTGGACAGTAGTTCAGATGATACAATTTTCAGGCCTTGTTACTTAATGCTGACAACTGTCTCATTCCACCACAACCCCTTTATTCATTGCACTAATTCTTGGGACCTCTGTGGACAGTTTAGGCTGGGCTTTGTGGTAACAAAAGATTGCCTCTCATATATCAACTATTTTTAGTGTAGATGTTGAACTGGCTACCAGCAGACTATAATAAAGAATTCATTCAAATCTGAACCAGCCCGGCTCTGGGAGTCATCCAGGTTTAGACCTAGAAGCAAAAGAGAAACCTGACATTAATCAGTTGCTTTAGTCTGCCATGAGAATATAGGCTCAGTTACTGGACTACATGTGAAAGTTAGACATTAATTTATAATTACATTGCTCATTTGATTTTGCTTCCATTTCTGACTTGTATAATTATATAGAAAGCATTACTCTACTCTGGAAATCATGGCTTAAGGTTTCCTTATTTTGTGAAGAGGCAATGTGGAAGAGTGGTTAGAGTGTAGGACCTGCATTGAGTCAGGAAGATCTGGGTTTGCATCCTGCCTCAGGCATTTTATCAGTTGTACGACCCTTGGCAAGTGAGTTTGTCTCTGGAGTCCCAGTTTCATTCTAAGTGAAATGGGAAAATAGAATACCTCACAGGTCTTTCTAGGACACTTCAGACATGCAATGTCAAAGCAGAACTTTTCCCTAAATCTTTGTTTCCTCAAACCCTGCACGTCTTTTACAGACTTTGCTATTTCCGGTGGAAGGCATTCCTGTTCTTTTTGTCTCTCTGGTTCATGTCCTGGGAGTTTTCGTTGACTCCTCCCTCTTCTTTCTCCCTTCCCTGCCAGCCAGCTGCCCCACCCCGACACGGCTCCCCCGTTAGGTCAGGCTGTCACCAGCTCTTACCTAGACTTTTGCAGTGGCCTCCTGATTGTTCTCCTTGCCTCATGTTCTTCCTTAAATTCACATCTGACCAGATCAGTTCCCTGGTCAGTAAGTTCCCTTGGCTCTGTTGCCTCTAGGATTTAAAAAATAAAATAAAACATCCTTTTGTTTAAATTTTAACTTCAGCCATATTTTTCACAAAGCCTTTCCCGGTTCCCTCAACTGCTCATGCCCTCTCTCCTAAATTACCTTTTATTGAATGTTTTGTTGTTTAGTCATTTTGAGTCATGTCTCATTCTTTGTGACCCCATGTGGGATTTTCTTGGCAAAGATACTGGAGTGGTTTGCCGTTTCCTTCTCCAGCTCATTTTACAGATGAGGAAACTGAGGCAAAGAGGGGGAAGTGACTTGCCCAGGTTTCATAGCTAATAAGTGTCTGAGGCCAGATTTGAGCTCATGAAGATGAGTCTTCCTGATTCCAACCCTGGCTCTCTATCCACTGAGCCCCCTAGTTGCCCTTTATGTAACTACTTTGTATTTACTTATATTCTCTTCCTGTTTATTCTGTATAACTAAATTCGATATCCTTCCCCAATCCCTCCCCTTTCCCTAACTTTCCCATTACTTATCTTTACAGTCACCCAGGCCCCCAACCTCAATATCGTCCTCAACTTTGCACATCCTCCTCCTGTCCCTACTCCCCAATATCAGTTGTCAAATCTTGTTAGTTCTATCTCTGTGACATGTCTATATGCCCTCTTTTCTCCTCTGATGCTGCCAGCAGCCTGGTGTAGGCCCTGATCATTTTATGACTGCTGGTTAGTTTCCTTGTCTTTAATATTTCCTCATCTAATTTATCTCCCACTTACCTGTTGGATTGATCTTCCACTGCCCTTCACCCTCCCCTTATTCATTAATCTCCAGTGACTCCCTATCCCTCTTGGATCAGATGTTTTCTCTGACTGACCCCCATGCCTACAGTTCCCTCTCTCCTTCTGCTGCCTCCTGTGTATCCCCTGGCTTTCTTATAATCTCAGGTAAAATTCTGCAAAAAAGCCTTTCCCATGTACAACTGAGAAATAGGTATATTCCCATTCAGTATTCTCCAAAGTCTTGCCATATTTAGCTTTTCTGAATTTCTGTTCATCTCCTTCACTTGTTTATTTTATAGTTAGATTTCTCTAGGTCTTGCAGAAGTAAATAGAGATCCCCTGCAATTAGTTTTACTGTTTATTTCCTCTTATGTTCATTTAACTTTTCTTTTAAAAATTTCAGTGCCATTTGGCACATGTATGTTCAGCATTAATATTAATTCATTGTCTGTGGTATCTTTTAGTAAAACGTAGTTTTCCTGATTATCTTTTTCAATTAAATCTATCCTTGCTTTTGCTCTGAGATCATGAGATTGCTACCCCTACCTTTTTAGCTGAAGCTGAAGCATAATGGATTCTGCTCTAGCTCTTTATTTTAACTCTGTGAGTCTTTTTGTTTCAAGTGTTTTTTGTTTTTTTGTTTTTGTAAACAACATATTGTTGCATTCTGGTTTCTAATCTATTCTGCTCTCCCTTTTCTGTTTAATGGGTGAGTTGATGCTGTTCATATTCACAGTTCTGATTACTCACTGTACATTTCCCTTCTCTCAGAAAGCCTTTCTCAATCCCTTACTGCTAGTGCCTTCGCCTTGAGATGACCAGTTTTCCACGTGTATATCGTTTACGTACATGGTTGTTTGCACATGTTCTCCCCCATTAGACTGTGAGCTCCTTGAGGGTGGGGGCTAGTTTTTTTTTCTTTTTTCTTTTCATCTCCAGCATGTAACATGGTGACTAGCACATAGAAGGAAGTTGATAAGTACTTGCTGCCTTGACTTGTATATATTTGTGTTTGTTGTCTTCCTCATTAGAACTAAGGCTCCCAGAGAGTAGAGATTGTGTCACTCTTGGTATTGTATCCCCCACATACCTAGCATTGTGTCTGACACTGAATGGCAAAGTGCTGGATTTGATGCCAGTAAGACTCAGATACTCACTTAGCCGTGTGCCCCTGGATAGTTCACTTAAACCTCTTGGAGCCTCAGTTTCCTCATCTGTGAAATGGGGATAATGATAATACCTGTCTGACAGGGTTGTTGTGAGGATCAAATGAAATGACAAAATGTAAAACACTTTGGAAACTTTGAAATTCTAAGAAATGCCATATTAGTATAACATTACATAAACACTGTCCAAAAGCATCATTAGGCTACATGTGCCAAGCTCCTGCTCTTCTTCTGTTATCCCTGAGGCATCGTGTCAGGCCAGGTAGTTCTCATTCTTCTGTGGTCATCTGCTGTCCATTGGGCACCCACATTAAGAGATGTTTGTGAGAGTAAATTAAAGGGGATCAAGGATTTGAATCCGCTACCCTCCTCCTTCAGTAAGTCACACTAGACTCTAGAGCCTCAGTATTTTTATATTACTGTTTTCTTCTGGTGAAATTGTACCCTTCTTGACTGTGAAGAATAGATTATTTTTGAGAAGCAAGTATTAAAAATGCTTCTCATTTGTCAGCTGAATCTTCAGCTAGAAATAGGGGTTTTTCTAGGGAAGAGCCAGCTTTTCTCATATATCTTCTAGGTATTGCTGCATTAAAAACTTTTTTTTAATCGTCCTTAGTGCATCCTTATTCCAGTCTGCCATCCTTTGAAGCCATACGGCTGCCCTTTGTATAGTGTGTTCTCGAAGTCCTGCTCAACCCAGCTGTGAACTGAGCTCAGCATGGGCCAAAGCAGCCCTACCCGCTCTGGTCAAGAGCCTAACGACTGAATTTTAAACTTGTGTTTCTAATTTCGATTTCCTAGGACTGTACCTTCCATTTGTCACATTGTTACTGCCAAACTGTCTTCCTTCCCCTAGCATTGTTGCACCAAAAGCTCTGTTTTTATAGAACCAGCTAAGAATAGTCCCTGGTGTATATTTGCACCTTTGTTTTACCATGGTTTAAATAAAAACCAGCATAAAAATGAGATTCTAAAAAGTGTCCAGTACTGTTATGTTAACACTGTAATTATTATTGTTGCTGCCTTTGTCAATGTTGTTGACGTTGTCAGTGCTGTTATTTCAGACTGGCTCCTTAAAATGCTTTGTTGGTCACAAACTGGTATGTATTTGGCTCCATTATTACCATTTACTGTACTTTTAAACATGTAATCATGAAGGCATCATTACTGGTTGACCAAGGTTCTATAATTTAATTTTTTTTTTTAAATATAAAGGTTTTCTGAATTCAGAATGATTGAAAACCTCTGGTCTGTACCCAATAACTGTGCATCTGATTCTGCCCTGATACAGTCTTGCACTGTTGTCCAGGTTGCCTACGTGGTTGCATCCACTGATCTTCTCCCAGACTCTGTTGCTAGCTACGGTAGTGTTAAGCTAGCATATCCTCAACCCGGGAGGGCCATGTGGTAGTGGTAGCTGCCCTTTATCTAGTGCTTTCTTAAGATTTACAAAATGCTTACCTCACGACTGTCCTTAGGGTAGATAACCCACAAATGTTTGTTGGTTGATTTGGAAATGAAAAGTACGTAGTGGGATTTTTTTTTAAAGAAAAATAAAATTAAAGGCAGCCTTAAAGTAAATTTAAAAATGGAAATAAAACTCTACAGGGAGCTTTAAAAGCATGTGATCAGATTTTCCAGATTAACTTGAACAAGAAAAAACTACTTAATGAAGCTTACGAGACCCTGAAAAATTGTAACTTGGAAGTCATAATTTAGGTGTGTTCATTATGGAGACTGAAAAGAATAAGAGTCATTTACAGAGATCTGCATAGTAACTTTCTTGTGTTTTTGTTGTTGTTGTTGTTGTTATCGTGTTGTTTGTTTGTTTGCTCCTTCAATTCCTCGGACGCCTTCCTGGAACTTGGGATGCACACGGAATGAAATGCTCGGCCGCGGGGACGATAGAACCCATTGTGAAGAATGGCAGGCCTCCAGCGTCACACAGCATGCACTCCTTCCTCCACCAGTACACCGGCTCTTTCAAGAAGCCCCCGCTGCGGAGACCACACAGTGTGATAGGGGGAAGCCTCGGCTCCTTCATGGCCATGCCCAGAAATGGAAGCAGACTCGGTAATTCATTGTGGATGTCTTACTTTCACTTTGCGGTCTAAACCTTAAAGCAGCGCCACTTGTTGATTTATGTGAACTTGCCGAGCAGACGCAGGCAACTTGATGAGCTCCTCTCCCCACCATTGCAGAGAGGAGCAAGCGGCAGGAAGTTAGACCGAGGAGAGGGATGTAGGCACAGTGACAGTTCATTGTTACTGAGGAAGAAGGCAGAAAGCACGGGAAAAGAAAAACCCCTCAGCTGAAGGCTCAGCAGTCCAGACCCTCACGCGGTGGAGCGCAGTCATCCGTTTTACCCCAGGATCTTAGTCCCTCGCGATTTCGTTGTCCTAGGTACTCCTTCCAGTGGAATGGATCAGTAGCTTTCCTCCTTGTCCTGGCCATCTTGGAGAGGTGCTGTGTCCCCCAAACCCTCCACACATGTTACTTGGTGACCAGCTTTCTGGTGAAAAGCCTCTCTGATTTCAGCTTGACAGTCCTCAGATATGACAAACACAGAGTTCATCTCTGAACCTGTCCTGGCTGATTTTTCAGTTCCATGTGACTCATCAGAACTTGTGCTCTGAGGGCATAGCCATGGTGACCCCGTAGTCTAAAGTGAGACACTAGAGCACATTAGTGGAAGACATACAGAAGGCAGGAGAATGGGAAAACACATCTTAGAAAGATTTCTGCCAAATGGTTTATAATTTAAAAAGTTATATCCATTTAAAGGGCTAAAATTAGTTATTTGGAAACTATAGTTATGTGGAATGGCTTCATTCCTTAATAATAAATATTAATTGTTCACGTTGAATATGTGGCTTTTAATTCCCGAGTTCAAAGTAAGCTTTGGAAATTCATTACTGGTATGAAATAATCATAGGAACAACTGTAAGAAGGAATGGGTGTCTCATATAAGTTTTGAGTAAAGTTATGATTCATGGTACTGGTTAACAACATCAGTTTCACATACTTTGGAATGTGGGCTAGTTACAAAACACTGGAAGTACTTGAATATCGATGATCAGAAAATAATGGCCTACTGGTTGTTATTTGAAAGTTTGAAAGATTTCTAAAAAGCTCAGCTCAGTTTTCTGATCATATTTTTATGTGGCTCTCATATATTTTTATGTATCATACATATTCGCATATATATTATAGTACAGTGTGTGTGTGTGTGTGTGTATAATTTATCCTTTTAACCATTATCTTGGTATTTATGAATAATCTTTAGGGACAAAAGCTGATTTTTCTATTAAATAATCTATTGAACTTGGTCATAGGCCGCTTTGTTTTCTGGTTAACAAGACCAATTTCTGCATTGAATTCTTTTATGTGGTTTAATCTTTCTCTTAGCTCTAAATATAAACAAATCTAGTTAAGAAAAGGGTAGTTAGAAGTCTGTAAAATTCTAGGCTTCTTTAATTATTCTTATCAGCATAATTTTAAGGAATAATTGGATAAATTTCCTTTAAGGTTAGATATTTGGTCTTCTGGTTCAGAAAACGTGGCAGTTCAAGCCACCTGTCAGCTGGCCAATCTATAATACTTAGTTTTGAGAAGTATTTAATGTCAGGTTTCAATTTCTATTGTTAGATATTGATTTTTTTTTCTCTTTATAGAAATTGTTTTGTTTTGTGGGGTTTTTTTGGCCAGACCAGTGATTTCATTGTTGTAGGAGTTTCCTGGTCAGGATGTTGCTCTCCCACTCTTCTCCAGCTTACTGTCTTGGAGAATTGTCTGGAACCCTCACGGAGAGGGGCAGGGATCTTGCCCAGGGTCACAGCTTTCTGTCTTAGTGGTTGAACTTGAACCCCCATTTCCTTGGCTTCAGGGACTGGATCTCTATCCACTATGTTAGTTTAGGCTTCTTTTTTTTTTTTAAACAAGATATATATTGAACAATTCTAAGATGCAAAGATGATCATCTTAACAAGGCTTTCACTGATTTAAAGTTTTTCAACTGCATAAAATATCTCATTAACTTGCCCTAGACTTGTATTCATATTTTCTAAGAATATTTTTCTAGGGCAAAAAGAAATGGAAGTATATTGCTAAATGTAATATAGTTCTGTTAGCTAATATAAAATCGAAAGATGTTTGGTTGGACAATTTAAGAGCAAAGCTTTTTATGAAAAACTTCATCGATGTGAAAAATGGGGGGAAATCAAAGAAAAGACAAACATGGATTATCATCACCATTCCATATGATTTTTAATTTACATGTACAAATTAGAGGAACAACTACGTTGTTTAAAATTTCATTTCATATTTATTGATTATATCACGTTGTTTTCTGAATAAATTCCTTCACTTATATATTTTTTTAAAGACAGTTGGGGTTCAGTGACTTGCCCAGGGTCACACAGCTAGTAAGTGACAAGTATTTGGTTTGAGGCCAGATTTGAACTCAGGTCCTCCTGACTTCAGGGCCGGTGCATTATCCACTGTGCCACCTAGCTTCCCCCAAATTCCTTCATTTATAATAAATTTATATCTTGAGAACAACATATCAAGCCCTTATGAAGTATCTCTAGTGTAGAAAAGCATAGTAGGTCCCAGAAGAGATACAAAGTTTAGATTAAATGGGGTTCCTGCCCTAATGTGATTTACTGACTGTTAGAGAGGAATGAGAACCATATACAGAGGACTACAGTGGGTGCTAAGAGCTTTAGGGCAATGTCCACAGAATACTCTCAGAGGTGCCAAGTCAGAAGGGTTGTTCCTGACTGGGGAGTGCCTGGGAAATCTTCATTTGGCTTCTAAAGGATGGATAAGAATTAAATGAAGATGAGGAAAGTGGGGCATGCATTGTAGGCATAACAGGCAGAGGGAGCAAAGGCGTTGAAATAGAAAAGTTAAAGGAATATTCAAGATCAAATTTAGCTAGAACATAGAGTACTTGAAAATAGGCTGGCATCAGACTGTGGAGATAGTTGAGTAGAAGACAAGGTGTAGTGACTGGGTCACGGGGAGCTATGGATGATTTTTGAGCAAAGCAGTGTCACGCCATGGCCAGATCTGTGTATAAGAAAGTAGAAGTCTGGCAATGCTTTAAGAGATGTATTTGAACGGAGATTGGGTGGATATACGATTGCCTGTTAGGAGATTATGACGGTGATTGAGGCAGGTGGTAATGCAGGGGAGAATAATGACATTCACCAAGCATTTTAAATGTTTATTGATTTATACACACACATCTGAATGGATATACACACCCAAACACACATTTGCTTTTTAACATTCTTTTTAAAAAGGTTTTTTTATGGTTATTAATGTAGCTGACTTCAGTAAACAGACCTTTTCCTAAGAAGTTACAATTCTCTCATTTCTTCAGTGGTCCCAAAGCTATGAATTATTACATCTACTTTGGATACTTCATTATTAGATCATTGTAACTTTAAAAAATTAAATGTCTATGTAATTTTTTTTTCTTGAGCTATGTACTTCTTAAGTGGAATTAATAAATATTCGTTGTTGGGTCATTAACATGTATATTCCTACTTTTATTTTTTTTCTGAGCAGTGATCTATAAAATCCAACCCGATGACCACTGTCGTGAGACAGAAAAGACAGAAGTGTATTTTCATCTTTTTGAGGCAAGGCTTGTGAAACAGTTAATTCCTAAAACGTTGGGGTGTTTAATATGTCACTCATAACTTCTTTTGTAAAGAATTAGAAATGTCAGCTTAGCAAATTAGCATTATTCAGAACTAACTTTTAAAAATTTAAATGTAAACAAAACTTTTGGAAATATAGGACTATATGTTGAAGAGACAGGGCTGGAAATTTGACAATCCTTATATTCAGATGATGGTTGGTATCAGAGTAGGTGAGCTCCTCAAGCAGTTGAGTGTGGAGTGAACCTATGAAGAGAAAAGAGGGCAGAGGGTAGAACTTTGTGGCATGCATAGTTATGGTTCAGGAAGTCAGTCCAAGGAATGAAAAAATCGGTCAGAGAAACAGAAGTTTCAAGGGAGTGTGGGTGGTCAGCAGTGCTAAATGCAGCCAAGAATCAGGCTTGAGGAGGACTGGGAAAGCACCATGGAGCTTTGTCAGGGGCTGCAGCAGTGACCTTAAGGACAGCAGTTGGTGTGAAAAGCCCCACGGTGGGGAACAGGTGAAAGAGAAGTAGAGTCAGCAGGTACAGAACACACCAACAGGCTGGCCACTGAACAGAACAAGAGCAGCAGAATGGTTCACTTCAGTGCCTTGATTTAGTCAGGATTGAATTTAAGCTAATTTGGGCTGGTTGAGAATTCATTTCTTGTTTCAGCTGTTGACAGATAAATCAGAAAATAATTAATATAAGGGTTGGAGGAGGTGTACAGTTTTTTTTAATTTTATTTTCTGTAGTTTTCAGATAAGATGTTCATTACTTTTTAAACATATGTAATAAGTTTTCTCAAATATAAAAAGAGATGAAATGATCCTTTATAAAACCTGCACTTTGGACTTCAAAATACGAGCTATTAACTAGAATTACTTTGATAAATGATGTTGTTTTAGTATCCAGTTAATGAAGTACCTTTAATAATAGACTTAGTTCTTAGAATTTAAATGAAACATCATTACATAATTTTTGCAATTTGGCTAAAAAATTAAATTATAATTTGACTTGTAATAATTGAAAACATGCTTCGCGAGGGGTTTAATCTATCCTGTAAGGAAAATAATGTGCTTTTTTTTTATGGCTCAGATATTGTTCATGAAAATTTAAAAATGGGATCAGATGGTGAAAGTGACCAAGCTTCAGGGACTTCATCGGATGAAGTACAGTCTCCCACGGGTGTTTGTCTCAGAAACCGGATACATAGACGAATCTCTATGGAGGTAATACTTTTTCTCGTTAATACACACCAAATAATGTCTGTTGAATCATTCTAAAATCAGTATATTTACATGATTGAAGAAACTACAGTCATGGGTTATTTAGATGTTTGTGTGTTTTGGTAATCTGATAACCTAAAGGCAATGTTTGTAGCCTAGCAAATATGAGTCAGCTAATTATAGAGAAGGGGCTGTTGCCTTTTGTTGGGCATTGCCTGAAAATCCAAGCTCGTATTCATTGTACCAAGGTATTTTGTAACTGGGAACCTTTTGATACAGACAGATTCTTTTTAATAAATCTGAACCTTTGTTTTGGCTTCATGTCTTTGAGAATTCAGCCTGACTCCTTTTTGTTGCATGTGGACTGAGTTTTACATGACCGTAGTAAGGGTGTGTGACTCTTTCCTCGCTTCTCCCCATTTCTTTAAACAGATATTCTAAGACATAAGGCAAAAAAACAAGTAAGTACTTCATAAATAACATGTAGATACTGTCTAATACCTGTTTCCATTGCACGTACAGTATGTGCCTGTTTCTCCATTCAAAGTAATAAGATGGTTGTTTATTTTTCTTTATCAGATTTATATTATAACTGTCAGGGGCAGGCAATATCCTTTCACAGTTATCTTTAGGCTGAATTCTAGAATAGTTTTGTTTTTTTAAACAACTGCAAAAAGACAGGTTCAGTGCCTTTGCAGAAATAAATGATTGTACTTGATATTCCAGACCTTCTCTTCGCTTCTCAGCCTTTTCCCTGCCCTACGACCCCCTGCTCTCCACTGTAGATGAAGAATTGGCCTCATACTTTCCTGGAAAGATTGAGGCTGTTGACCATTAATTTACTCTGTCCCTTTTGCTGTTGAGGCTGGCCTCCCTACATGTGCCCTTGATCCCGCCTCCTTCTGGATTCTTTGGCTGATTGGATCCTCAGTGGGGATTGCATCCCCACGCTTCAGCTTCTCCTTGTCCATTGGCTCCTCCTTTATGGACTTCAAACATGCCTAGCTGTCCCCATCTTCAGAAAGCCTGCACTAGACTCCACTGTTCCTGAAACATCGCATTATACGTATCTGGCCTCCCTGTCTCATCCATACTCCTAGAAAAAGCTCTTAATCCTCGGTGCTTGCACTTCTCTCGCTCCCTAACTCTCTGCAGTCTGGTTTCTGACATCTTCACTCTGTTGAAATTGTTCTTGCCGGAGTTAGCGGTGATGCCTTCATTTCCAGGTCTTCTGGTCTTCTCTTAGTTCTCATCCTTCTTGACTGCTCTGTGCATTTGTCGCTGTTGATCACTCTCTCCTCCTGTATACATTCTCCCTCTCCTTAGCTGGCTCATTACTCATTTCTTTGATTATTAGTGATTTGGAGTGTTTTTCATATACTTTATGGATGGTTTGCAGTCTTGCTTCTATTCATACTTTGCCTAATGGAGAATGACTGTGTTTTTGTGTCAGTTCCCTATATGTCTTGGATACCTAACTTTCATCAGAGACATTTGATGCAGAGATTCTCCCTCCCATACTCCCATTGGATGTTTCTTTCCTTATTCTATGTACATTCATTTTGTTCATGCAAAAGCTTAAATTTTTTTTTTTTTTGGTAATAGAAATTGTCTGTTTTGTCTTTTGTGATCTCCTCTGTTCCTTGTTTGGTTATGAATTCTTCCCCAGTCATGGATCTGGAAAAGGAATACTTCACTCTGTCATACTTTCTTTACTTAACCATTGCATAGAGTATGAACAATAAATATTGGAGCCAGTTAACTATTATCCCCAGTTCTTTTCCCTGTTTCCCCATAAGAATTATTGGATACCTCCTCTGTTGTTTTATCCATACCATTCCATTTGTTCTCCATATTCTTCTGTTTTGAGGTTTTATTTGAGCTCTGTGCCCTCAGCGCATTATTATATTTGGGGCAAACTACTAGACTCGGTAGTTTTAACTATTTCATCCTTCTATAGGAATTGTCACAATGTCATATTTTTTTCTCTCCATCCATAATAGAAATCATTAATAAGATTGAGGATCATAGAGCTTGAAAGGTTAACTGTGCTCAGTGCTTTCATTTTATAGGGGAATTGAGGAACAGAAAGATAAATTTGTGTTTAACTTAAGTCAGCACCCAAGATAGCTCGGGTGCTGGCCCCATGACTTGGAGCTCAGTGCTCTTCTCTGTTATGTGTGTGTGTGCAGGTCTGAGGTGGCTTTTCTAGTCATATCTTGGGCTTTTGTCCCTAGATAACCACTTGTTTCTTCCCTATAGGGATAACCAAAGGCCTTATTCGTTCCATTGTTCATACCTACTTACGCTCTTCACCCAAATTAACATCTACTTAATTCAGATACTCCTGCTAAAACGCTGAAACTTTTAAAGTCAAATTGGCCATTTAATCTTGGTGAATTTAAAAAAAAAAGCTAACTGTAGTCTTAAAATGTTTCCAAGTGAAGTTTTAAGAAAAAGATTATGAGAAATGATGATTAGGTAGATGTTACTATGACTATTGATGAGCTTATTAAACATGATACTATATTAACCTCTGTAGATCTTATTCTAATGAATAAGTTGTTTCCTCTGAAATTCAAATATTTTCATGTAAGCCCTTTTCACAGAGTCTTTGTCCCCATTTCATAGAAGATAAAGCATAGAGAAGTCATGATCTGACATGGGCCACCTAAGTTTAGTAGCGGTATGTAAGTAGAAAGGATGTATTAATGGCAAGATTGACATTTGACTACCTACAAGTCAGACCTTATTTCCTGGCATCCTTCAACATGCACAGTAAGCTATTGTCTGATAAGACACCCTGACTTTTAAGTTTTGCTAAAACAATGAAAAATCCTGGTTTCGTTTTCTAACAGGAGATCAAATTGCTGATTTGGTTTTGTATGCTACAAGTACACGCTATCTTTCTTTTCCTTGAAGGAAAGTCTGTAATAAATTGCCTTCTCCGTTGGGAAATTTGATACGTTGCCTCTTAGGAGTGTCCCAGGCAGACTTACAGTGATGAGCAATGAAATCATATTATGTTATTAAGTCCAGAGCAGAATTTGGAGTTCTGTGTTCTGTTCTTGGTCTGTAGCTGTTTGAATTGAAGCAATGAATGAAAAGCCTCTCCTTTTCTTGTATTCTTTGTTTTCTAAAAGAAGAAAAGCATTTTCCTTATACTTTGATGTTGAACATGTTTTCAAGCCACTCTGAATTCATATTGTGAACACTCAAAGGTATTTATTGTAGCAGATGTATAGATTTATTTACAAATACATTGTCTTTACTAGAAATATGCAAGGAGAATAAGAATTTACTTTAGAGTACTCCTCATGTAAATAGCTCTTTTTAGCCATGATGTGGCATAGTGAACAGTGTGACAAACTGCAGTCAGGATGACATGAGCTTGAATCTCTCCTTAGATATTTAGTAGCGATATGACACTAATCCGTCCCAGCCTCAACTTCCTCATTTGTAAAATGGGGATAATAATAAAACCCACTTCTTAGGATTTATTGTAAGGATCAAAAAGCCTTTTTCAGATCTTAATGCATAAGTTCATTTATTTGTTTGCTGGTTTATTGTTGTTGTTATTGACCTTGGAGATGGATCTTTAGGATATGTATGCCCCTATTTGTTGTCATATATTTTTGAAATATGCCCACCCCACCTGCATTGAAGTTAGAATTTTCACAGTGTGACTCTTACTCATAGGATCTTATCCAGAAGGAACTTCAGAGTCCACCTAGTTCACCTGTACCTGACTGGAAATCCCCTTTCCATCATTTCAGACCTTCACTTGATCATGTCCAATTGGGGGACACCAAGCCTTCTGAGGCTGCCATTTCTTTTTTGGACCATGCTCGTGGTTAATGTTTAGCCACATTTGCCTCTCTTCAATTGTAACTGATTATTTCTTGTTCTTCCATTTGCAGCCAAGAGGAACAAATCTTAATTCAACTCTTCCACATCACAGTCTTTCGGTAGTTGTGGACAGCCATCTCTAAGTTTTCTTTTCTTCTAGGGGAAACAATCCAATTCCTTCAACCAAATTCAATCCTATACATGATCGTTCTGGTCAATCTCTTATCCCTTCACCCCAAGTAAAAACACCATTTTTATGTGGGGAAAAAATTATTGTACTTAGCATTTTCCTCATGAAAACAATTGTTTTGCCATTTCACAAGAAAATTGTTGGCTAATATCCAGAAAATTTTGCATATTTTCTAAACTCCTGTAAACCAGAGCTTCCATTAGGCTAGACCATTTAGATCTCTGATTTGATCTTGTTAACCCTGTTGTATAATGAAGTAATGAACAACTGATATAAGATGTCAGAATAATGATGTTGATATTAAATCAGTTCAGATTGTCAGGGGCATGCTTTTTTTTAGCCAGTTACTTAGATTGATACTAGTGCTATTATTAATGGAGGTTCAGCAGAGAAGAAGCAATTGCAGAATTTTCCTCCCAACAGATGATTTATTCTTTTTCAGTGATATTGTAGATGTGTTGCTCCAACTTCCAGACTTCTTTTAAAATTATGTCACCCTTTTTATAGCCTACAAATCTCTGAAAGTGGTTCATTTCTGTAAAAACCTAATATGACAGACCACTATTTACAGATGTAGATAAAACTGGCATCTGATTAATACGAGGGCAATTTTCATTGCAAATACGTATTTTAGGGATGAAATTCTAATTCCTATTGAAAACAGCTCTGTGTTGAAGCTGTCTCTTCAGCTGATGTCCTTCCTTAATTCAAAGAGTGTTTATTCCTCTCTGCTTTTAGGCACAAGATTCTGTGCTCGGTGCCAAGGAGAGTTGTGTTTGTACATAGTGACAATACCTCTGCCCTTTGGGAGGCCAGGTCTGAAGGGAGGCTGCAGCATGGGCTCCAGTAAATAGGATTCCTGTTTACACATCAGAGATAGGGAATAGAGATTCAAAGCATTCTAGGAAAATTTGAGAAGGCAGAGATCATTTTCCACTGAAGCGGGGTAGCTGAACTTGTCCTT